CTTGTTTTAAGCTGCTTTGTGTCCACCAAGTCGTTGAAAGCTGTGCGATCTCTGAGAGCACGCTGACTCAAAGGACGCGCTTTAGTCCTTTAGCTTCTCCTTGCCTGTCATTCATTCATGCTGTTTGCTTAAATTTTCAGTTTACAGAGAACTTTGATCATCTTTTAATAGTAAGACAGGTTTCCACTTAATCACTGAAATAGTCGACAAAGTCTTCGTTTGGCCTTCAGCCTTTTATAAAATGCTATTAGACTGTATTCTCATTTCTTGGCTAAATATTATTTCAGACAAAAATTTCCATTACTCAGTTCTGTCGGATTCTCTAGACTTAGGTTTTGATTCGAGGGTCCACAAATGATTAGAAAAATTCAATTATTAAGCTTTAGCTGCTTGCTTGTAACAGATTGCTAGTAACTTTGAGTTGCTTTCGTTTTAGCTCTCATATGGTTTCCATTATTTATTCAAGATGCATAGACATCAGGGATGCAGGTGCTGTGCCAAGAAAATATGCACTTTGTAGTTATCTTCATAATTCCTACAAAGAATTTCATGTTTTAATAGAAAGTGAAATTAAAGTGCAAATGTAAAAGGGACTACTGTTCCACAGGCTAATACAAAACTTATTTATTTAATAGTCTTATTTCTTTTGTGTTTGCTTTATAGGACTTGTTATTGTTCTGACATCTGCTTATCATGTGTGAATCTTAAAAATGCCAAAAATACGCACTTTAGTAATATGATTTGAAGCTAAATGTTATCATTTGTATTATGATTGTCCATCAAATAATTTCTGTGATATTATAGCCACCCTACCATTTTAACATTTATGAAACTCATTTACTGTGTCTGTTATTTAAGATTAATTGATAACTGTTAATATATACTGATTTTATAGAAGAAAATTACATGCTGAGTATAGTTTTAATACGAAGAAAACAAATTAATGGTAAAATTTACTTTCTGAAGACCTACAAATTAAATTCCAGAGTAGTTTGCCATAGAGATAAATAAAAAGAAAAAAAAGAAAGATGGAACAATTAAAATGCAGCTAACAAATTCCTGGTCCCAGCTGTCCAAACAGGATTAATGGAGTGCATTAGGGTACAGTGAGTCATGTGGTGCTTTGCAAAACATCAACACGCACTGCATTACATGTTATGCCCAGTGACATTGAATGGATGAAAAGAAATAAATACGTTAAACAGATTCATAGAGGCTTTTCACAGTATTAAAAAAGCAAATTTCTAGACTAAAAGAAAAAGCTTTATTTTAGTATTATGGGAAATGCAAACTAGAGAGTTACTTTGTAATTCCTCTATTAACCCTTTAGAATTGAGTCTTTGATTTTAAGAAGATAAAATATAGAGAATTGTCATGAATATTATGTTAGTGTATAACAGGATTTCGATTTACTAGCTGAAAAGCTTATAAGACTAGAATAGAGGTTGTATTTAACAACCGAATTCCAAGCTGTGACATTTTTCACTCTTTCTCATTGCCTCTTGCAATGAAATCCTGACCTTGGTGCGGTCTCATTTGCTCCTGTGAGATCCCCGGCAGCGTCCCGTCACCTGCAGTGAAATGAGAAATGCAGGCCCAAGAAAATCGTAATTTACCTGCAGATGTGCGATTTTTCTCTTATTTCAGCAGCTTTTTAGTGGAGAGTATGATTTTAATTGTAAATTGAAAAAACATTGAATCTAGTATAAAATAATTTGGTGATATTTTGCTTCAAAAATGAAAGTGTTCTATGGGTTTCTTTTCGTTTTTAAAATTTGCCAACTCCTATTGTTGATGTATCCCAGGCTTTAGGTTGAAGTGCATTGTATGGTATGACATTTATTAAAGAATTCCTTTTAAATAGCTTGTTAGATTGGAATATGGAAAATATCATACTAAATGGGAAATCACTACCGTGTAAATTTTATAAGCTTATCTCTTGCTACAGAGAATTAAGTCGTGAGGAAAATTCTGACCATGTATTTTTAGTCAAATGTACTTAATATAGATGATAGTTTTATTGTCCATAGGAAACACTAAGAATCTGTACTTAAAATTTTTTATTAGAACCCTTTAAAGCCCTTTAAAAGTAGTGCCATGCCAGGGCATACAATTTTCAGAACATTGTTTTTGCTGCCTGTTTAGACTTCAGTTTTAAAGAATCCAAAATTTTGTAGGAGTTTGTTGTCCATATTTTTAGTAAACAATTTACTGGGTAGTTTAATAGACTCTCAAAGTGATTAGAGGAAGTATTTGTAAACAAAAGGAAAATAGAATAGGATCAAACTATCTATAGATGCCCAAACTGTTTTGTCATAAAATATTTTAAATGTTTCAATGAATTTTGTAAAAATAGATTTTGTATGATTGCTGATATGCTCTTTATTATGCTTAGTGAAGAAACAACTGAGAGGCTGACATTTTTTGTGTTATTCTTAATTTGAAATTGCCTTTAACCAAAACGCAAAATTTTTCTCAAATGCAAACAACAATCTTTGAAATACTTTTACTAATTTCTATTTTAAAATTATTTTTGTAGTCATTTTTTCATCCTGGAAGTTCTTTCTGTAACTTGCAAGTTTTGTAAGGCCTAAATGCACATTTAAAAAATACATATATGTATGTGTATGTTAAATACTTACGGTATTAAACAAAAATACTTGTCCTTTGAAATCAATTTGAATTTATTTTCAATATTTTCATGTATTTCTCATCTGGGTCCCATACAGTCTGTCATCTTGCAGGAGAGAAAGTAGATTATTTTCTTTTGTTCCTTGATGAAGGGACCTTGTTTAAAAACTGGTCTCTTTTGGAGAGGTCTTTATTTGAGGTTTCACAAATATACAATTAACCTTTACCCTGGGCTTTCCCTCTCTACTTTTCATTGTGAAATGGAAATAAATGATGTGTTCACAGATGCTTAGCAATGACAAATGTGAAACAGAAGTATAAATTATAATATATGCCCCTAATTGTGACATCGATAAAATTTCAAACCTCATATTGAAAATTTCTCACCAAAAAATTGTGTATGACTTATGTTCAGATATATTACAGAAAATAATAAATGAGTGGTACTAATTAACTTTTGGTTGATTACTAATGTTCTTATATCTGAACAATAAATTTGTATATCTACTTAGGATTTTTAAGAATAAAAAATTCTTAAAAGTGTTCTGTGTCAAACTGTCCAAACAGTTAAGAGAGCAACTAATAATAACACTCTAAAAACTCACATTCCCAGTGTGTACTTGCTGTGTTTTCCTGATGCTGCACTTGTTTCAGGGCATGTGATCCTATCTCAGAAAATGTCATGTTGCTTACACATGTCTAAACTCAGCCATGATATATAACAGATATATTTTTCATGTGAAAATAATTCCAGTTAGGATCATTTAGCTGGAAGGAACCTTAAGAAGTAATTTTTAAAATGTTATAGTTAAAATGGTACAATTAAAATTAGACAGTGATACTAAAGGTCTGTTTTTACTAAGAAGAGTAAAGACCCCTAACCTAGCTGAGGATTTTTAATATAATAGTATACATGCACTACCTGAGACAGATGAACAGATTATCTCATTTGTAGGATTGTTTTTAAATTAATGTTTAATTATATAAGTAAGCACATGAATAAATTGTCCTTAAAAAGAATGTTAAAATTAGAGATCAGGCTAAAGTTGCTTGTGACCACCATTTTTAATCCCAGTCCCTTCTTCCAAGTTTCCAGAAACTTCTTTGGTTTATAGCTTTTGAAATCTTTTTCCGTGCACATGTGTGTGTGTATTTGTGTGTGTGTATACTCCAGTAAATTTTTAAACTCTCATCTGAGTATTACTTTTTTTCTAATTCTTTTGTTAGCATTCTTGTTCCTTCTGACAACTCTTAACTTGGTGTGCCGCCCAGTGAGAGTTAAAAGAAGAAAAGGTTTTGAAATCATTTCCTCTATCAGAACTCAGTCATCCAAAATGAATTTCATACCAAAACTCTTAATTATCTCTTTCTGTACAGGTCATCAATGACCCTCCTGGCTGCCTAATCCTATGGACTCTGTTTTTGTCTTCATTGCTCTGTGGCATTTACTGTTTGTAATCCCCCCACCAAAAAAAAAATCTCTTCTTTTTTCGTTTCTGGTCACTGTTCCCTCTTTTTTTCTCCTCCTTCTCTGGCCATTCCTTAGCGGTCTCTTTTACTGCTTCTCAACTTCCACCCATTCACTTGCCCCCAAATCCAAGCTCTGTGCTATGAATGGGTGTCCTACTGCCATCTCACACTGGTGATTTCTCTCTCTCTCTCTCTCTCTCTCTCTCTCTCTCTCTTGTTTCTCTTTTCAGTCTTTGGGACACTTTCTACCCAACAGGCCAAACCAGAAACTGGAGAGTTACGGTAGATGCCTTTGCCTTCTAGCACCAACACCTAACAGCAGTACCCAGTATCATCTTGTTGATACATCTCACATCTACCTCTTCCTTCCTATTGTCCTTTTAAAAAAGGGGAAAGAGTCAGACTTGTATAACATCAAAAGCAGAGAACTGAGTATATGATTTTATTTTAATATTCTACTGTGAGAAGAGTGTTCATGAAGTAGATTCTAAGCAGGTGTTTTGCTGTAACTCTTTACTGTGTTATCTGAATAGTTGGACTTTATAGTATGGTAAGGTTCGTAGTATAGTTTATCACAGTCTACCTTGAAGGGATATTATATCACTTAGTATGAGAACCTTATAGCAGTCTACTTCCATTTCTTCCCTACCAGCCTTTGTGTTTTTTTATTTTTATTTTTTGAGGCACGTTCTCACTCTGTTGCCTGGGCTGCAGTGCAGTGGCGTCATCGTAGCTCACTGCTGCCTCAAACTCCTGGGCTCAAGGGCTCCTCCTGCCTCAGCCTGTGATCTGTTCTGCAGAATGTTCTGTGTACACTTGAGAAGAATGTTTTTTCAGCTGCTGTTGTGTGGAAAGTTCTGTATGTATCTGTTAGGTCCATTTGTTCTACAGTGTTCAAGTCAATAGTTTCCGTATTGATTTTCTATCTGGATATTCTATCCATTTCTCACAGTGGGTATTGATATCTCTTAATGTTACTATATTGCTGTCAATTTCTCCCTTAAGATCGGTTAATATTTGTCTTACATATTTAAATCCTTTGATGTTGGGTGTATAAATATATTTATAATTGCTATGTCTTCCTGTTGATTTGAACTTTTTAATCGTTATGTAATGACCCTCTTTGTCTCGCGTGACATTTTTTATTGTCTGTTTTGTCTAATATAACTGTTGCTAACCCTGTTCTCTGTTGGTTACCATTTACATAAAATATCTTTTTCCATCCTTTTCTTTCAACCTATGTATGTTTTTATATATAAAATGAGTCTCTTAGATTGCATATTGCGGGATCTTTTTTTTTAATCTATTCAGCTCCTCTATGTCTTTTGATTAGGAGTTTAATTCATTTACATTTAAAGAAATTTTTAATAGGTAAGGACTTACCATTTCCATTTTGTTGTTTTCCCTATGTTTTGAGGTTCTTTTGTTCCTCTCTTTATCTCTTGCTGTATCTTCATTATCAGTTTTTTTTGTCTTTTAGTACTTTGAATACATCATCTCACTTTATCCTGGTCTTGAAAGTTTTTGCTGAGAAATCCACTGGTAGTCTTATAAGTGTTCATTTGTATGAGATGAGTCACTCTTCTCTTGCTGTTTTGTGTCTTATGCCAACATATATAATTTATTGATAAAGTCACTTTAATAATCCCTTTATGTGTCAAGCTTTATAAACTCTCTCTTAACTACTCCTTACTGCTTTAGGAACACAAATATGCTGGAAGTTGACTCAGGTGGGCTAAAGAACATAAATTCTATTGACTTATATTGTGGATGAAGAAACCAGCTCTTTCTTAAAATGTGATTTTATTCTGTATGTTAGTTCTTTTATAGGTACAAATAGAAAAAGGTTGTTATTCAAGAAATTATGTACAAAATGTTTTCAATTGAATCCTAGTGGAGGGAGTTGATATTTGTTATGAAGAATGTTTTATTATTGACAGATGATCCAAAGACAGTGTGGCCTTATGCTTAGCTGAGCTTACCTCACTACCCTTCTTACCTGGTGTATGTTTTACTTATCTTTTAACAAAATGACTTTCCAAATGGGCATAAGCATTTATTAATAGATATTTGACTAAGGGAGTTCAATAACAACATTTTATAATTGAATCTTTCTTATAGTTGGTAGTATTTTAAAACTTGCTTTCTTAATACCCTTTACCTTTGTACAGAAATATAGGTTTTGAAATATCATACATTTATAGAATAGGTGTTGCTAAATTAAAGCTTTAAGCATTGTTACTTTTTCTTAAGTGTTGGTACTTAAAACTTTAAAAATACAATACATAATTTAATTACTGTCATGACAAAAACCTGTCAGAATTTTAGAGAAGTGATTGTTTAAAGTTTCTTGCTGTCCAGTCTTTATAGAATATTTTCAGAATTGAAGAACTGTGTGTTGGCAAGAGTAATCCTTTAGTCAGTCAGTATCAGTTAGATTTTTACAAATACTAAATTAAATTTGAAACAGCAGTGTCTTTAGTACTAGTCCCTATGAGCTAATATTTTGTCTAGTTCTTCAGTGCACTATAGCAACAGGATCCTGGATTGCAGTTTATGAAGTCAACCTGAAATGTCCTGGGGACCAAAACATGTAATGATAGAGGCTGTTCTTTGTCTGATGTCTGGGTGTTCTGTATTTGGTCTTGACCCTGACTCTCAAGACACCAAGTGAGTCCACTAAGAAGGTCTAGTGAAAGCACTTTCCCATTGTTGGTAATACACCTTCCATTCCTACTGTGACAGTGCATTTGGCCTCCTGCCCTCACTCTCACTGTGTAGTAGCGCTGTCACAACATAGGATGTAGGCCATGTTCAGGGCTGGTTGAATCACCACATGCCACATACCAGTGGTTTTCAGAGTGAAATTTGTGCACCCCCATGGATTCACAAAATCATCAGACTATGTGAAGAAAATATTAGAACTTGTATTTATATTTATTGTTATAATCTTTAACATCTTTGTTTTGTCTTTGAATAATGTATATATCAGTAGACAGTACATATATAGTTTATAAATAAATACATGTATATTGGACGCACATGCTCAAATTTTGTTTTTACTAATGGTAGTATATGAACAAAAAATTTGTGGGAGCAGGTAAGACTCTTATGTAGCAGCTGGGCAAAGATTTTTATTCTGGGATCTATGAGTTCCTCCGTAAATGAGCTTCATGGTATGCAAAATTGTGTGTTTACATACGAATGTGTTTCTTGTGAGAAGATCCATAGCTCTCACCGGATTCTCAAAGGAGTCTTTGGCCCCAAAGATCAAATTAACTGCTTATCTGGGATCTCTGGGCTGAAACCACTTAAGCTTGTTTTGGTGGGACTATATCTTGTTTACAGATAACTTTCTAGGCTAAATTAAATGGTATCTTCTTTGAAGAATAAGATGCGCAATTAGATATGTATTCCTTTTAACAAAGTAAAGTTATGTAAGATTTTAACCGAGGAACCGCAGTCCAGATTGTTGTCATCACCTCATGGCAATGCATGACACATGCTGCGTGATCTTCTGGTAGCTGGGTTTTAACCTTTTTACAAAGGTATTTTATTGTATGTTTTCATTAATCTTCTGTCTTTTAAAAATATTTTGGTATATTGTAGCCTTTCAAATTCAAACACACTGGCCCTGGGTAGAAGTGACTACAGAAGAGCTACTTTAGAAATCCCCGTTTTTGTTATACTGTTTCTGTATGAAGATTTTTCTGTTGTCTCTATAAGCTGTTCTTGTAGAGGCCATCTGTAGTACATGATGGAATTGCTTTCGAGTGGGGATGACAGTTAAGTTCAAAAGTCAGTTGATAATGTGAAATTGAGTTTAGTCAAAGTTATTCTTGAAATCCCCCATAAGATCCTTAAATCGCCCATAAAATGAGGTACGTAATTTTGTTTATACAGATCTAAAGGCAATTGTTACTATTTCTTCTAACTCTTTGTAGTTTAAATTTTATATGGCCCTCAAGTGGCCCTTCAGTTTCTTCTCGGAAGAATGTTCACTATCCCATTGTCTCCTGACTGACCACTGAAAGACGTGCCTTACTTATCTCTCAGTGCCAGAAAATCCTACCATTCATATATTTTTTCCAATAAGTATTGGACCTGAGACACATATTCATTAAACAGAATGACTATTTAGCTATTTTTTTTAAGTAAGACATGTAAAAATGTGTACAGGCGAATTTAAGTAACTTAAATGCATAGATAATACCATCCCCCTGCATTTCCAGCTTTGCCCTTTTACTCTGCAAGCCTATAGCATTAAACTCAGATTAGCATTTTTTAATGGAAGGAAATTATCCTATTTATTTATTCACTTATGTAACAAATATTAAGTATGTGTAAGACATTATTGTGGGCATTGGGATTATAGGAGTGAAACAAAGTCCCCGTTCTTATAGAATTTATGTTCTAGTGGGGAAAACAGGCAATAAATAAGCCAAAAAGGAAAAAAAATTCAGGTAATGTGTACTATGAAGAATCATAATTAGAATAGAGGACCATGGAGGGTCCAGCTGTTCTAAGTGGAGGAATCAGAGGTTTCATCTCCAAGGAGGTGACGTTTAAGCAGAGACCTGAATGGAGAGAGGGGACGGAGAGCAGTTCACCAGAGGGGCAGTTCACCGTGGGGGAGGTGTGAGGATTTGCTCAGATGTCTTTTTCATGAGGGGTCTTGTTTCCTATTATTGGTTATAGCCATCCCATCTCAGCAGAGCATGTGTTCGCCCATCCTTTCTGTATGGCAACACAGTAGGTTCATTTCTAACGTAAGCCCAAATACCATCGAATGACAAGGGGCATTTCATTCTGACCTCATTGCTCATCACTTACAAGTGACTGTGGCGGGTGTGGGAAGTAGGTTAGGGCTGGCCTGAGGTTGTCCCACTGTATAACAGTTTTATATTGTAAACGAGGATTCATTCAGTAGAGCATCTCACATAACAGAAATGAGAAAGTCCATGAAATTTGATGTGATTTGTATTTTATTTTGTAAAATATTTTGCAAAATATTTTACCTGATTTTATTAAGGGCTGTTTTATTTATTTTTAACAGGAATCACTAGATTTGATCTACTTGGAGACTTTGGAAGGTTTAATTGGCTGGGAAATTTCTATATTGTATTATCCTACAATTTGCTTTTTGCTATTGTGACAACATTGTGTCTGGTCAGAAAATTCACCTCTGCCGTACGAGAAGAACTTTTCAAGGCCCTAGGTAATCCTAAATTTCATGGGTATTTTGTTTTTCTTTCTACTAATTAATAATTTTGACATTTGAGTTAATTTTAAATCTTAAGCTATTTAGTTTTCCAAATGTGTAAACCCTTTGAGGTCAAATTCTTGATCCACTACTAAGTGATTATGATTTTCGCTTCATTAAGTCTCAGCTTCCTCACTCATCTGTAAAATAGTGACAATATCTTCTTCCTTTTATGATTATTGTCAATATTAACTGCAATAGTTTTTGTAGGCCTCAGAGTAGTACCTGGCACACTATACATTAGCTCCTTTACTGTTCCATTGGTGGTGGTCCTGGTGGTGGTGAGGGTGGTACTGTGTTAAAGGCTTATTTTTGGTAATGATTCCATTCAGTTAAAGCTTCTTTTGAGGCTTGGATTTTACAAGTATCAGGCTGTAATTCCTTTCAGTAAGCCAAATAATAATTCAGGATAAAAAATGTTAGCATTCTTGGCATTGATAGGAGAGAGGGCATTTTTTATCATGTATTCCATGAGTCACATGCATTGTAACACTATTGAAAACTGGTGGGTTTATATAAAGAGTACTAATATAATCTATGAATGTATTTTTTATGCTTGTCTCCACATTAGTGCTAAACATATTTCAAGTTTTATGCTTTAAGAAACCAGGACAGTATAAACTATCTTGGGTTTGGGGTATATCGTTTTATGACACTAGGGAAGTTTTGTGATTTATTGCAGAAAATTATATAGAAAATCCTGACATTAGCTCATTTACCTGAGTTGACACCATTTGAGTGCTTATATGCCATATTCCTTGTGGCTTTTAGTTATTGCAAAAGGCTACATATTGATTGATTTGTTAAGGTCCAATTTTCAGGTAGCAAACTATATGAGCAGCAGTAAAGCTCCTCCCATCACCAAGCTTTCCCACCTTAAGGTGGAAAGGGTGACCTTTGGTTGGAAAAAAGGTTGCAGATCATCTATCCATGTGTGTTTTACTTTGAATATGCCCTGTGGGGAGGTAGCTGATGAAATATTGGCCTGAAAGGAAAAAGTTACATCTCATTTCAGCTGGAGCACCAGATAATTGACAGATTTGAATGCTTAGATTTCATGAAGCTGGCCAAATTTAAAACTGCCAGGTGAAATGAGACTCAAACAGTCCTTTCAGTCAACTGTCTAGAGTCAAAACTTAATTTTTATGCCTGTTGTGATATCAGCAAGATTAGTTAGTCATAATCTCAGATAAATTCCCGCTTAAATGAGATGGTTGCAAATGCATTGTAGTAAGTTTATTGTTTGAGTTAGGTATTCTGGATATCATTTTGCTAAATAGTAAAATATAACTTAACTGGAGGTAAAATGTCTTAAATGTATCAGTTCTTTGACCATATGACAGTGGAATTATCAAGAGTTGTATAAAACTAGATTCTAATAGATTTACTTTTTTCCCCAAATGTTTTTTATTATTATTTGGGGTGTGCTAAGGGAGCACTTTTTACCTAGAAAAACATTCTCATTAAGTATATATGTAATGTTTGAATGATCTGAGATCTTAAGTATGATTTCACTGAGAGTTATAATTTGATTCTAAGATGTAACTGTCTCTTTTCTTTTTTTTTTTCTTTTTTGTATGCTTTTTTCCCTTTGCTACTATGTCCATTGATAATAATAGTATCCATCTCAGAGAATGTCTGGCACCTAATAAACACTCAAAATTTAGCCATGGTGGTAATGGGGGTGATTGTTTCTGGAGTTGTCTGCAGAAGAGAGACATTATAATTTATCAGGACGCACCTATGTTTTAGTAGTGAACCAAATCCTCTATCTTAAAAGGGTGATTGCATTCTGGTTTAGTCAGTGAATTCCTCATTAATCCTCTCTTCCCTCAGTCCCTTCCTGACAAGCTGTGTTTTAACACACTTCCCACCTCCAACAGCTGTAGGTTCCTGTTGTCACTTAGTGGTTTGGCCATTCCTGGGACCAGAACCATCTTCCGTGTTGAATTGATTTCTTTTTTCTTTCCCATTCAAACATCATAGAGAGGCTCAATTTTGCCATTTATGTCACTAAGATATGCAGGTGACAGAAGTGTTAAAATTTGGAGTGCTATGTTGGCTTAAGAGTGGTATGAAACTGCCTAATAGGTAGATTATCACCTGGAATTTTAGGGGAAAAAATCTTTTCAAAGTAAGTGTTTGAGGTGTCAGGAAGGTCTGAGCCTTATGAAAATTATTTTCTCACAATCTCTCCTAAAGATGTACTGCTTATGTACAGTCATGTGCCGCATGACAATCTTTTGTCAGTGGTGACCTGCAGTGGTCCCGTAAGATTATAATGGAGCTGAAAAATTCCTGTTGCCTAGTGGTGTCATAGCCACTGTACCATCATAGTGCAAGGCATTACCTTTTCTGTGTTTAGGTATGCTCAGATACCCAAATACTTACCACCGTGTTACAGTTGCCTGTAGTATTTGGTACCGCAGCATGCTGTACAGGTCTGTAGCCTGGGAGGAGTGGGCTGTGCCATCCAGCCTAGTGTGGCACACTAGGTTCGTGTGGTATAGTGTGGTATGGTATGGTAGGCTGTAGCATCCAGGTTTGTGTAAGTCCACTCTATCATGTTTGCATTGCCTAATGACTAATTTCCTAATGACTAATTTGCCTAATGACTAATTTCTCAGAATGTATCCCCATCGTTCTGCAGTACGACTGTATCCTTACATGTCGTTGTATTTCATTTTTATTAAATGCTTGAAGCTTTAGTACCACATGAACTCTTAAATTTTCTTCTACCTTTTCTTCCTGTGAGGGTACAATATTGTTCTATATATCAGGTATGTTGTATAAATAGTTGCTATATGATATGGCAGGAAATGTGACTTTAAAAGATACCTCGAAATACCTTTGAATAGTGAAATATTATTGTGATCAATTTGTTCTTTTGTCATTTTTTCTTTTCTCTTTGTTTTGGTAATTTTTTCATTTTTTCTTTTTAATTACATGTTAATATTTTGGTGTGTCTTTTCCTACATTTTCCTGCATGTGCATACATATCTGTGTGTTTTAAAACAAAAATGGGAACATGTCTGTCTCAGGTTAGGTTCCCTGGGAAGCGTACCATAGCTGGGAATAAGCTTGCCCAAAGGAGGTTTGTTAGAGGGGTCGGGGAGAGGGAAAGGGAAGGGACTGTGCAGATAGAGGAAGCGCACCTCGGTGCACTTACACCAGCAGCCTCAGCGCCCCGTGAGATGTTGTGACTACAGATGACCCTTCAGAGCTCCACTGAACTGAGGCAAAGGGAACAGGCCTTTATACTCATGCACACGTCTGTCCGTCATTGGAGGCAGGCTGTCCTGGGAGGGGGAGTTTCTGCTGCGCAGCGGTCTTCCACTCAGGCCATCCCGAGGGAGCTTGCCAGTGGGAGGAAGAAATCCTTCATTCCTCAAGAGCCTCTGGGCAGCACATCACAGCTTCCGCAATACAGCTTTACATTCTGCTTTGTAAATCTCTTCTTCCGCTATGGCAACCCTTTGCCCGACCACTCAACAATACATCATTTCTCACCGTTTTCTTGATTTTTCTGCAGGGCTTCATAAACTTCACTTATCAAATACTTCAAGGGATTCAGAAACTACCAAGCCTTCTGTAAATGGGCATCAGAAAGCACTGTGAGACACACAGCTGGTACATTCTGCAATCAAGAGACCTGAGAACTCCAAACTCATGACATTCCTGTCAGACGTAGAAGTGTTTTCAGACTGACCTTGGCTCATGTTTAGGACCTAGGCCAATGAGTGTTAATTTTTTTCCATAATCTACTAAGAACTTGGCTAGTGCTGATCTTATTTTATAAAATTTAACTTTCTGATCAATCCTGTAGTTTCCAGTTTAATGCAGATTCCTTAGAGATGTATAGAACAGCACATTCTTTGTAGACACTTTCATTCACATCAGTAAATACAACCATCCATATGAAAATTCTTTTCAACTGATATGAAAATGTTAGAAAAGGCAAACTTTAGGACTTTATAAAGATTCCCTTAAATCCCATTATATATTTTATTCAGAATGTAGAAGCCTACCTGAAAGGCATCCTTGGTACTATGCGAAGGTTTTTCAGAAAATGCAGTAGAAACCGCTTCTAGACGTTATTATTGCAGTGGGTGCATTGGAACTGTAATGGTTGCAAATTGTATTTTTTATTTTTTTTAAAAAAAATACAAAAGCATAGTTTCTGATTTATGTTATAGAATGATATCGATTAGACTTTGAGCCCAGGGAAAAATACTAAATTCTTTTAAACCTTGAGCCTTGGTAGAAAACCACAGGAATATCTTCTGTTGTACAGTATGATAAGCTATGGTAGGAAGTATTATGTAATCATAGTTTAAGGACAGTTTATGTATATATAATTCAATATTACCTCTCATAACATAGTTGCCAGTGTTGAGTACACTTGTAACTTAGATTCTGCCTTATAGGCTATATATATGCTCAGTTTTTTTAAAGCATTTTTTTCAAAGATCACTTAGTTCTCTGTGCTTCTGTGATGCTTATGAAAAATATTAGTGCTGAGTGGTAGAAAACTCTTCCTTCCTCATATTCTTTAGGTTTTGGTTACTTTTGTATATGCCATTTCAAACTTCTGACTTGTAAAAGTTACCAGTTTAACACTCAAAACTCACAGCATCAGCATTCATGATGTAAGAATAGTTTTGCAGTGTAACATGATCTGATAATCATTCAGTCATTAAATTGTAAATAATTATTGGGTGGTTTCTTGGCTTTAAGTCCACTGAATAAAAACTATGAACATACACTCTGTGTTACCATCCACTAGGGTAGAATACTGAAAATTGTGCATGCAAAGGTATAAGATGGGCCCATTTGCACATAATTCATATGCATAAATGTATATGTTCAACATGCACTATGTGTATGGTAATAGATTGTCTGTGTTCAGACAAAAGTAAACAACATTCTTTCTCAAATTGTTGAATTTAAAGTTTTTTTGGAGAAATTTATGAAAAACAGACTATTTGACATCAAAAATTTTCACTTAGAACCAAAATAATAAGAAAATTTGACCTATATATTTATAAATTTCACTGAGTATACTTTGCCTTTATTTATACCTCTGCATTTCCTTCTTAGCTTTACATCTTTAAAAGATGCAGCTTGGTTTTAAAAGAACATTCATTTTGTGATTCTGTCCAACACTCAGTGAACAGTATTCAGTGAATTTCTAAGCATAAGATCTCCATATCTAGAAAATTAATATAAGTCAGCTGCTTTCTGTTAATAATTTCACTATTAATTATACTTATGTAAGCATCAATTGCAGGCTTTTATTTTTTGTGAAGCTTGGAATCTGTACTTTCAGCAGACCAAGTCCAGGGAGAACAGAAAGAAAGTATATTAATATCGCTTTTAACTTACACCATTTTCAGGGCACATCCAAAGAAAGAGTTTCTAGGTATTTGTAAAACATCTGAAAATTTTTTAGCAAAATATTAAACTTTCCAGTGTCTCTCAACTTTTTGTTCATTTGAAAGTTTCTTTCTGTCTGAGGACTTGAGCTGGGTTTGGATCAGTAAGCTTAGTAAAGTGAATTATAAAGTTTTAAAACCTTTACTGGATGGTTCTTCGTTGCTGTTGAAACAGAAGATGAGCATCCTGTGGAAGGACAGTTGCCAACGCCGGGCCTCGGGTGCCTTCGTAACACATGCAGATTGTTCCGTACTCGGTCTGCTGCATGATCACCCGGAGGTTCTACTCCTGATCACATGCACAGGAGTCTTCCTCCTGAGTGAGAGATTCACTCCACACGCGGGCGCTTCTACTTGACGTGTGCTGGAGGCTGCCTTGTGGACACAGATCACAGAAATGGGTGGTAAAATACTGAGGCCAAACACTCTGTGAGTACTGGTCAGGACAGCCACTCTGAGGGGGTCTTCATTTTACTGCAGCTGTTGTGTGCTACTGAAAGGCAGACAGACCCCGGAAGACAGCTCCACATGCTCACAGGTTGATTCTGGAGCTGCCGTTGCATTTCTAATGGATGGCGGTGCGCCAGCGACTGCCTTAAATCAAGCAGTCCTTTTATTCTCTCTCACCTTGAGTCTGTTTTCAAAGGGCATTAAGCACTGTAGTTACAGAGTTTCTTGAGGACACTTAGCAGATTGTTGTTAATTGGTCCTACAATATTTAATTATTTCATAATTCGAAATTTTTCAGATTATGACATTTGTATTGATTTTTACTGATTTTCCAAGATGTTTCTTAGATTTACTATTTACATAGCTTTATGTACATTCTGTGTAAAAATAGACCTCTAAATATGAGATGTTACATGAAAATTGAACACACATATGCTAATGTTAGCTCCTGAAATCGCTACACTGAGGTGCTGGTTAGTAGCTGATGACGCCTTCCGCGCTGTTTTGCCGCTCAGACGCATTACAGGTGTCCGTGCACCTGCTCTCAGCAGCACAGACTCTGCCTCACTTTGCTGGTGCCCGTTAGGCTGTCCCTGCAGCTTCAGGAATGACTTAATCTGCCAGCGACACAGGTTTCCATTATTTGTAAGCCCTTATGTGCTTGCCTTGTTAGCACAGTACTTAATGCATAAAGGCAGAATTACTATGTTTTTCTCTTAAATGTGAACATAAATGCGTAACTGACATTTTAAACTTTAGAAAACTGGTATAATGCTACTTTTAAAAATAACGTTTGGACACACTGGTAAATTATTTTTGTTTACAGATTGTTTTGTTTACATATTGTCTGTTGGTCTCATTTGTTTCTATGAGATACTTTTAGTGTGACTTTTAAAATGACTTAGATATTAAAGTTTTATGAAAAGTGATTTCATATTTGGTTTATAAGCACTTATATGTGGGGTCTTTTTTGTTTTTGTTTTTTCTGTTTTAAATTATGCTCCTGGCTAAAACTTAATGGTATTTATAGGTTACTTCCATGTCAATTTTATAAAGGACAATAATTATTCTGGTGAAATGTTGAATTAAGGAAGAAGTGGGTATTTTCTTTCTCTTTGTTGTAGAGTTATTAGTAGATCAGTTTCTTGCAACTCAAAATGTAGCATCAATAATTGGAAGCATGTATTTTATCTAATTTAATTATTTGAGTTATTTAGATTAGTTTGATTTCTCTGATTTCTTCTATAGAAAGACTGAGCAGCGCCTGCTTGTGGTCTGGGCAGCTTAGTCCAGAGTTCTTGGGAGAGTAAATGCTGTTAGCATCTGGTTAATTCACTGACAGAAACCTATACACCAGTGGCTTTCAAACTTTTTGACCACAGTAAGATAAACATTTTATTTTATAACTCAGTACACACTCACACACACACTCTTATATAAGGAAAAATTCAACAAGACAGTACTGTACCTGCTTTTCCTATGTGTGATGCATGCTGACATTTTCTATTTTTTTATTGTTATTTTTTAAAATACTAGACATAGGCCACTAAGTTATTTTCCAACCTCCTAATAGATGACAAGCTTCAGTTTGAAAAACATTTAACTTTGGAATTTGGTTTGAAAGAAGAACAAATACAGAGGCCTTTTGGGGGGGGTTTATTGACTTTTATTGCTCCCACTGAAAGCAAAATTATAGTGTATACAAATTACTTGTACTTCAGGAAGTGTAATTAAAATCAGTAGAAATTGCTAAAACTCACAAATATGGATTATAAAATTTCAAAACCAAGTGATGGATTGGTAAGTCTTGAAGGAGTATTAGGCATTGAACAGCTAACCTTTCAAGAGAAGTTATTTAATTTTCCAATTCTATGTCATTCAATTAGGAAAAAGTTTCTTCAAGGTTAGCTATTAACATAATCAAATGGGAAGTTCAGACAAAACCCAGGTACTCTCAGGCAGGGCTTTGGTGTTAAGCTCTTCTAAAGGCACTGAAGAGGCCCAGTTCGCGAGTATGGGTCCTGGAAAGCAGGGCGGCACCTGCTGTTGGGGGTAACTGCCGCGCACAGACCGACGCGGGAGAGTGTCTGGAGTCTGAACGCGGAGATTCGAATGCAGGCTGTGATCCGAGGAGGAAGATTTTATCAGTTACTAAAAGCATTTGCGACTCTTGTTATTAAATGAATAAAAAGGGTCACTGACAAACAGTGACCCTTTAGCATCAAGGGTGTTTGACGCTGCTCGGGCTGTTTATACTGACTCTGCAACTTCTCTTTCGCAGCATCTTGCAGTGGTCCAGTTTTTCTGTGTGGACTCCGCGGCAGACTCGGAGAATTAAATGATGAACGGAGTACTGCCGATGCGCAGGGGGCCTCCTCTGCCTCCTCCTCGCTGCGTGGAGTTTCCCCTTGCTGCCCCTGGGGGCCCAGTTTCAGTTCAGTCTGAAGAGTGCTCCACTTTTTCTTGTCTTTCTTAGTCCTTACTATGGAATCTCGTCAAAGACTTCACAGTGGGGGGGTGAAAAGGGACACAGGGGAAGGGGGTGGGTGCCGTCCTCACACGTGGTCAGCCCTCAGGACCACCCTGTGAAAGAGAAGGTAACAGACCTCCGCCCTGCAGGTAAGGAGCGGGATCGGGCAGCCGGAGGCGTCGCCTGAGGTCACACCGCTAGAGAGTGGACAAACAGCGTGTGAACACAGGCCGGCACGGTTCCAGTCTCACCTCTTCCCTGTTTCAGGCTTTTGGTTTCTTAGTGACTCCTGTTGGCTGGGTCAGAGTGTTCCAGCACCAGATTATGAATCATCCGTTGCTGGATAGAACCAAGTGCTTGAACACTACTTCTCTTCCCACTGTCTTATGTGCTGATGGGGCTTGAGGAAGTGGCGCAGTCCCAGCTTTCCTGTTTGTAGGCCTTATTATAAACACAGGTAAACTTACATCTTTCGTGTTTAAATGCAGCTAAACATGTAATTCAGATAAATAAGTAGATACCTAAGATGTGATTCTGAAATGAGATGAATTTTGCGTATATGG